CATAAAAGCTCAATATGTATTAATAAGAGTTAACCTACTAAAATGGTAACTGGCACCATGAGAGATTTCATCACCACCACGTGAATCAAGAGCCTACGTTTTAGACTTATAACCTATATTTAATTATACGTCTAATGTTTATTGCAGAATTCGATTGATTTGTAGACAGTTTGTATTTTTAAGGTACCTACAAAGCATTATTCCCACACCATGTGGCTCAACGCGTCGTTGTATGTCCCTAAGCGTGAGGCCGCTGGAGGCTCACACGGTATAGAAATTGTTCTTAAGATTTTATATCGAGGTCGGAGTCGGTACGTTTTTACCGACTCCGACTCTATCTAAAATTGCTTCCGACTCCACATCCTGGTGTTAAAAGCACCTTCTTGCACTTACCTAGGCCGCACTGAGCAGCATAAATTATATTACGTTTCGGTAGTTAAGAAAATTAACATTAAATGAACTAACTCGATTTGAAGGAGGCTATTTCCTTTTATTTACTGACTTCACATTCAAACAGACCACAACCACTTCGTCCAACATTTTCTATTGCAAAATCAAAACCGTCTGATAACTCGCTCAATGTTATATTTAAAGTTACTACAGTGGAGTTGAATGACGTGGAAAACAAACATTTTTATAAAAGTGAGGTTATTGTCGGCAACGATTAAAGCCGGTAAAATCACTGATTATTTAACTGGCATATTTTACCTATGCTTATTTTTTTTAATTCCATATAGATCGGGTTGCAACACAACCTGAAATATTTCGTGGTTTTTCTATTACTGTTTCAAGTGAGAACTCATCATAATCAGCTTGGATAGAGGCAAACTGCAATGGACAGCGTTCGCTGACGTCAGAAGAACGCCGAACAATTCCGATTTTTGTCCGATGTCTGCGCTTCGGTTTACATCGACAGATATTCTTTCTGTACAAATGTTCTAGCATTTTTAACGACAGTGTTACTGCTGTATCGATGTTATAACTATTTATTCTCCAAACTTATCATTATGTTTATTATCCGTCATTCTGCATGCTGAGATCGCTTTGCGGACACGCTTTTCTTCTGTCCATGTTCATCTACTGTTCCCACGTCAACGTGCAACATTCGGATCCAAATGCCAGTAGCTGTTTGTTAAGGTAGACTTATTTATTAAGGAACATGCTAAAATTTTCATGACGTATATGCAAACACTTTCACATAAATCACGTTTTCTTTACAAAAACAGAAGAGAGAACACACCTCCCTAAATTAATTTCTTGAACTGGATACAAATCACACCACATGTACACTGGACTCATATTTACATAATACAGTGGATACGCAACAGAACGCGGGTTTCGGCGGACAGCTTCAGTACCCGCGTTATATGTGAAATATGTAAAATATAAGAAATCGTATTGGGGGACTTGATCACAGCCGCGGTATATCCGAGTCCGCGGAGTAACGAGGCGCGGTATATCGAGGTTCTACTGTACGTACACCGTGTGACTGTTCACAGACGGCCAGCTTTCGTTTCCACTAGAATCCAGTTGCTCTTTTAGTGTGGGTAAAAGACGTCACAAAAACAAACACAATGTGAGAGATGTGAAACAATAACAAAAGGAAAGTATTAATGAATAACAACAGAAAGAAATCTCAATCGATGTAAAGAATGTGTATCAAACTCATTTCAGACCTTCTTGAAGCGAGAGAAAGAAACAAAGAGACATTCAAACACTACACGGGGGTTACCCACTATTAAGAAAGCTGAACAGTTGAATACGAACACTTACTTTTACCGCTTACATTTAATTTAGTGTGAACCACTTCTAAACCGTAGTATAACAAAACGTGATTAATACAAACTTTCTAATGACTTAGAAACATTACCATCTTCAAACTGAACTGAACTTATAACATAAATTTTATACTCTATCAATTAAATAAAATTTGTTTTATCATCTTCTGGCTATTTGGCAGTTCCCCCGTTGACAGTAGCCTAATTAAAATTTTAAAGCATTAAAGGTAGACGAAACGTGAAGCCATCTTTAATCTCAGGTCAAGGTATTATTTACCTCGGCACTAGATGGAGCAGAGTCCTTGAGAAGCTTACAGTAGGACAGCTTGTCAATAAATCTACATAAATCGAAGGTTCATTTCCGTATTCAAAGAATTCCGACATTGGGACCTACGCTGAGTCGAGTCCAACTCACCTTCTCAGCAATTCGTTTCTTGCCTGTTTTAATATCTCATCTATATCTAGGTCTCCCAGAGGTCTCTTCCAATGACGTTTTCTAACAAAATGTTGTATACACTGCTTAACCTTCTATTTCTGTGTGATACGATGTCTATAAAACTCATCAGCTGAGTCACACATTTCATAAAAGAGTTTTATATATGTGATACAATAAAACAAAAAAGTTTCGGGCAGAATTCATAAGGCCTAATTTCCTGTCAATGCAGATTTCAAGCACAACAGGTACTGTGTTGTAAATGACACGTGTAAATTTATATTCCTACGCGTAAGTTCAATTTGGCATATGGGATTTGGTGTTGTGCTGGTCAACAGACGGACACAGAAACAAATGGTACTCGATTAAGAACCATTTTATTGTTTGCAACTGTAGGTATGTTACGCGAAAAGTATTATTTATAATTACTTCTATATATACCTTCGCACAACGTCTAGTGTTGACACATATGAAATTAACAAAAAATGGGAAAAATGTGACTCCATTCTTTTACCCATATGTTGTATGTGGGAACAATTCGATGAATTTCGATTAAACTTAGCATTGGGTTCCATGCTAAAAGTTGTCATAATAATTGCGCAGGTCAAATACAAACCCTACTTAACCCAAATTTCTCTTTATCAGATTCCTCCAAAAAGACAAATGCACAAGCAATTACTAAATATTAAAAGTACTTTTTTTATGGCTTACAGCTTTCATTACAAACTTTTCCATATGGTGAAAATTTCTGTAAAAAAGGAGAATAATTCCTGCGACTACGAAATGTCACATCTGTGCTATTGATAACTTTGCGAGAACATATTTGTTTACGCAGCAAATAAACATCAAGGTCACTGGGACATATAAATTGGCAGCGACTACATTTACAAAATATTTGTATTCTGCTAGTGTACATACCCTCACTGTTGTTCTATTAAAAGAAACAATAGAACTATTATCTTCTTAAAAAGGTCCCTGTGTACAGCGTTGCCGAGCGCTAAATATTAAAGTTGTTTGGTCCCCGGTGTAAGTCGAGTAAGGTTATGAACCGCTATAGCTCTGGGATCAAGGGTTCAAACCCTGTTCAAGACAAAGATACATACCCAAGTATTTCTGTGGCCTGCGTAGATGGAGGCTTTCAGACGGACCGTTCCTCATTTAACGGAAACTCACTTCGAGGATCAGATTGCTTGCTGAGAAGCTGACAGTCGCTAAACTGTTCTAAACAATTTTCTTATTTTGTAGAAGGAGCCGCGGTATTTCAAATGTACTGTCCCAGCATTTGTCTGGGGGAACTTAGGATAAGCACAGAATCTCCAGTCAGGATAGACAGCTTGCGGGCTGACAAAACAGTGACCTCATGAATACGAAGCAGGAGTACCACCCTCAACACCATGACGCAGTCTGGCTTGCCAGATTCTGGTTAGAATGCGATGTACAACTGAACATGAAGTCTTAAATACATGCTTAATACCGCTACACCCGCCAGCTCAATTCAGTCCACACCCGCACACTCTACTTCCTTAGCATCCATTTTTATATTATTCTCCCATTTATGCTCAGATCTCACAAGTGGTCTTATAACTTTAGAGTTTCGGAAACATTCTGTATATATTTTTCCTCTTTTTCATGTTTTCGATATGTTCCACCCACCTCATCGTCATTTATTTGACCATTCTAATATTAGCCGGCACATTAAATGACATCAAAAGCGATTTTAATACGTTTAGGTCTCAATGAAAATGGACAAGCATTCTGCAACGTTAGAGAAACAGACACAGTCATGTCTGTACTCGCACGCTCAACATATAGTAATCTAGTCAAAGTTCTTACAGTCATAAACGTGCACAAAGATACCCGATGATGAATTAATATCATGTTTGATTTCTTGACATTTTGTGTCTTTATGTTACGAAGAAATGTACTCATCGCATCACGGTAACCATGCCACAGTGTACTGTATTATGGGGTTGTTACACAGATCAATGCGAATAAGAGGAAAGATTCTGTGAACGTAGAAGATGCATGTATCTGCAGACTTGTTGGAAAACATAGCACTCTTTCACAATAGGAGATTTGCAGATGACAGCCCCTAATATTTTACATTGCAATGGGGTTTTCTGATAGGATTTTCTAGATAATTACTACATACTTATATCCTAACCCTATTTTAAACGTTTAAAAATAGTAATCTTAACACTCTTATCATGAACATGTTCCAAATTCATAAGTTGAAATTCATTTCATCGATAACTGGTGGATCATCTTGAAATGATTTAAATTAAAATATTAATAAACAGGCATTATGTAACATTGTTTAATACATATATTTTCTAGTGTTTTTAGAATGTTACATTAATCGTGCATGAAAATGTTAATATACAATGATTACTGAATTTTGTCTTAGGCTAATGTATTAAACCCTTTCGTACAGTCTCCATTTTCTGTGCATGCCGTTTGAGTTATTAGACTATCAATCAACCTACATTGCAAAAACTATCTATATCCACTATTGTTCCATTCATTAATAACCAATTAGTACAACAAGCAGTCACCATGTGTAGCCGTGACAATAAATAATACAAAACTGGCCAATACAGCGTTCAGGAAAATCCTGGAAAAGAACAGAAGCTTTCGGTACCAGAGCTATTATCCTGTATAAGTGGCAAAAATAATTAACTTTCATGTTTCCGCGTGCTCTATTCTAGGGGAGTGTATAAATTAACACGAACCTGCATAAAATATTCCTACACAATACTTAATGCTGGATAAATAAAATGTTTTCATACGCGTGAGCTGTTATCAGACTGGGCTGCATAGAGGTTTACTGCCGAGCCGTCATCCTTCCTGTGGAAAAGTTGGAAAACAAAGCACTAGAAATAAATAAACTACGTCAACAACAGGCATTGGTATGTGTGCCGAACAATGTTACATTCCTATCTTCAAGGCGAGTCCTTAATGATCGAAGAACGAACGAAAATGAAGTTCACTTCACTTCGCAGTATGATTGACATCGAAGTAATGGAGCATTTGAAGATAACTCGTTGCTCTCCACGCTAACAGATCAATGTAATGTTTTAATACAGACTATAAATAAGCTCACTAGGCATGCCACAAATACGGTGCTATTTTATTCGGTAGAATAGTAGGCCAAGAAGAAATTATTACAACTTAAAACATAAAATTATCTCATATACACATAATATACATGTATATGAGGTATTCATTTCATGTACGAAGTGCGTGTATTTTCAAAAACTAAATCCCTCGCCTTCTGGTAAACAAATGTTCTTTCCATATGTTTACAAACGTGTGTCTGCAACTGCTTTTAAATCCGAACTCTTCTCGATCGTCGGTCGCAATACGAGTCTGTTGTTTCCGACACTTTTATTCCACTCTGAATTTCTTCGTCCACTGGAAAAGGAGTTAATGTATCTGGACTCAAAACTACCTGCTCACCCGGCTTAGCTCACTGTGACTTCTGCATGTTCCTAGACGCTAAATAATCACGGCCACAGACTGAATATCAACGCCAGCGAAAAACTGCTTTGGGAACAGTAGCTTACAAGTAACGAAATCACACCAGTAAACAGGAGTTCGTGAAACGACTCTAAGATTCTTTACGCGACTGACAATGTACGCTTTAAAGAAAGGAGAAAACTATCGAAAAATTAAACAGGGTGCATGCTCTGTTTTCAGCAACAAATATCCTACTGATTCACTTCACAAGTTTAGCTAAAATAACACAACCTTTTTCATCATCATCATTAACTACTACAAGGATTGGGCCTATTGACCTGTTCCGGGGCAGTTCCTCGAGGTAGCTTGTCCTCATTAGTCTTGTAGGGTGCAATTGAGTGGCAAATCCACTGCCTCTGCACAATTTCTACTCAATCCATGATTTGTTTGCTAGTGCCATCTAGCAGAGAATCAGAAGATGTGAGAAATGGCAGCTGAATTTTGCTTACGAAACATCTCGTTCATGCTCGTAAAGTTCTTTTATATGCCGTAAAGGTACGACATGGGATCGCCGGCGTTACTTCCCCTCCGAAGGAAGTTTATCACCCTTAAAAATTCATCGACTTCGGCCGGGTTTGAACCCGCGAACCTTGGGTCCAAGAGCAAGCACGTTAACGACTAGTAAACCGAGGGTGACACAACTTTTTAAAAAACCAAAATATGACTCAAAATTATCGAAAGTGTATGTTATTGGTTAAGCATTAAGGAACGCAGCATTGAAAAGCAATCTGAATTTGTTCATGATAAAACCAAAATACGTTTGAAATAAAGGTATAATGCTTGTCTTACATTAGGAAAAATTAGATATGAGCTTTTACAAAGGAAGAAATGAATTAAAAAGCTAACAAAAGAGAGTTGACAATCGATCAGCTGTTGCTGAACAAAAATTTTTGCTCAGAATGTAATCTTCATTAGTTGCTTACCCAGTAAAATGTTACGGACAGCAGTTCACTACACACCAATCCTCCAGACGACGTACTACTGCCACCCACCGACGACACTGTATCGATTTGTGAGCTTGTATTACAAATTAAACGTCCTATTACGTGTTTTCTTGTAGACAGCACCTAACTGCGACGGCAACAAAATCTTGATCTACAACTTTACTTTTATTTCAGTTAAAAGCAAACAACTTTTATCACTGTAACGTAACTTGGAACACAAAATGTATTTGTTTGTTTTTCATTACTGATGATTATATGAAATACACGAGTTTATAGAAGTCGTATTTCTTGCTAAACAACCAGACACAAAGTGATACAATATGACAGAGCTGTATTGAACGTCCACAGTTCATTAAACGCCCTCTGTAAAGTTTTCTGTTTGTTTGTACGTCTATTTACATTCTCGTGCCCTATTGTACCAAGGACAAGTAGAGTGTAATCAATTTAGTTATTTTGAAGCTCCAAAGATGATCCACATGCACTTAGTATTTATAGCATTAATTCCATCAGCCAGAATTGTTGAACCGTTGCTTCTTTTCCGCAATTACCCGACACCACAATTAATTTCTGAAATGTACTTAAGTGGTCTTTACGTTTTTCGTCTAATAACAAGAACTGTTATTATACTACATATGAGAATTTACGAACAATGATTTCTGTTTGTAATTTTCGCGCCTTCGAGCCTGTGGCCCTTGTCCAGATACTCCTACTGTCCGACGAACTGAATCAGACTACCGACCACTCTGCATACTCGGAGCTACCACCTCTTTCGAGACTGATTCTGCGTACGAGCTACTCTATACTGCCAACCGGACTGGAAATTATCAGAATCGCGCCGGCGCACAGGCGACTAGAGATTACAATTAATTTTCAGACTTGAGAAAGAAGACATTATGTCTAGAATATATGAGGTTTTTCTGTCGTCCATCGAAAAAAATAAAATAAAATGACAACACCTTACATAACAATCATCGGTAAGAAATTACCGTCTCCTCACTTTTACCCTCAAGGCTCTGATAAATTTGGCAATCGTAAGTTCCAAATATTTCCTCGGGTTTTTGTAGTTTATTTTAATCGATCATGCATAACCATTCCACAAGGGCAGAATTCAAAAACAGTATCCGGTATCTTACCTCGAAGACATGGCTTCAATTCCGAAGCAGCCGATATGGGATTTATTGGAGAAAAATGACAATGGAAATGGTTCTTCTCCAACTAGGCCTTGAAGTTGCGAGAGACCAAAACTGGGTCCTTCTGACCCCGACCATTCCTTGCCTCAGAATTAAGACGTTCAATTCAGCTAGTCTAGAACAATACTAAAGGAAAGGCTCTATGGCCGTTGACGGTCCAAAGGCGACACGAGCCCTCAGGATTACCCAGAAGGTCATCGAAAACGTGACTTTAAATACCGGTATGTGGGAACAAATCGTAATTGAATTCACAATGAAATTAAAAGAGCCGATTAAACTCAAAGAATGCTTACTGCCATGCAGTTCAGAATCTCTTCTCTTTCCTTGCATCAAAAACGTAATTCAACCTGTTATTTTGTGTGGGTGTCAGACTTGATCTCACACATAACATAGATTGATGGAGTTTGAGAAAAGGGAGCAGAGAAGAGTTAGAACTTCGAAAGAAAACGTAAAATCTGCATAACGAGGAAATTCATAATTTTTACTCTCAAGCAAATGTTACTGGGATGATCAAATCAGAAAAGATCAGATGGGCGGTGCATGTAGCATGTGAAGGAGAGATGAGAAATACATACAAAATTTTGGTTATAAAATCCGATTGGAAGAGGTCTCATAGATAAGACAATAATATTAAAATGAATATTTGCTAAAAGAAATAGTGTGTGAAGAAGTGGGCTGGGTTCATTTGTCTCAGAACGCAGACAAGCACAAGTCTTTTGTGTATCAGTCATGCATACAAAATTACAAGGAAAAGACTGCATATTTTTCAATGCCAGTGCAAATTTCATATTTAAATCGTACTGTAATAAAATATTTTCTCATATTTAATAATTTTTAGTTACTCCGCGTTGTCCCAATTACTTTCTATCGATCCACTTATTTCTACCATGCTACACGTAACACAGACGCCAGTGAAATTAATAATAACTGACCTCCCATTATAGCCTGCAGGTTCAATACAGTGCAAAAAATACAAAAATCCACATTGCTTTGTTTTACAACTGACACAGGTCAGTTCATTCCACATACCCACAAACTAACTAATTAAATCAACTTCGCAAAATAAACCAGGGGTCTGCAATCTGCGGGCCAAACGTGGCCCTCACAGCCTTCTTATGCGGCCCATCACATAATTTTGGAATTAACAAATGCGGAAAGGGCTGACACTTTCTACTATTGAATATTGCAATGTTAACAAGAGCTCGCCAATGCACGTTTGCCTCAATACGATTCATCCAGTTCACACTTACACACCCTCACTTACTACTTTCTAATGACGCGTCTTAATAACATGTTCCATCTGCGCTTAGGTTTTACAAGTGGTCTCTGCCCTCCAGCTTTTTTTAACCAGAACTGCGTATGCATTTCTCAGCTCTCTTATGCGTCCTTTATCCTGCAGCCATTTCATCATTCTTCTGCGCATGCTCATACTCAATATCCCAACATTAAATTACAATACAATTTTAAATTGTAATAAAACTATGCCTTGGGATTACAAGAGGTCGCCTTCCAAGAAGTGTGAGCTCCAGCATTCTGTACAGGTCTACGTTGACTATCCAATTTCTCCATCTAAATTCTCAGACCGTTCTTTACTCCTTCGACTTAACTACGTGACAATGGGATAAGAATAATAAAATTCACGCAACATAACTTTCTCTCTTCAAGAAATATCAATAGGGAGATAGAAAGAATGGGTCTGAAGGAGCATGTAACATGCATGGATACGAAATATTTACAGACTTTCATTCCAAAAATCCGAAAGACCAGTTGGGAGAATCAGGTATAGATAAGAAGATAATATTAACATGATCTTAAATAAAAACTGTGTGAGTGTTGACAGTATACATGTTGCTCAGAAAATGGTCCAGTATGGGAAAGGAGCATATGTGAGCATTCTAATGAATATTCGCTTTCATAATAAGCAATGAATTCAACTGGTCGAGCAACTATCAGCTTCTTAAAACGGGCCCCGTTTCGTGGCGTTAGTTTCTTCGATATATCCGTTCTTTTTCCTAGTTTTCAAATGCTTACGATTTATTTTTCTTCTCAGAAAAAATAATTTATTTTAATATCATTCTCAACAATGAGAAAAAGATTAGGTGTACGTCATTTACTACAAGGATTACGAGGGGATAGCTCAGTTTTTGAAATGCACCGCAAGACCAGTCCAGCCTAATATCTAGCGGAGTGTGCACCGAGGTTAAAGCGGACGGAGTGTGAAGCTGGCCACATTCAGCTTTATCTAGTGCTGATTAACAAGATCAACTTTGCAAAGTACACCGTGAATTTTTTTAAAAAAAATTAATATGTAATAATACATTATTAACATTCCTAATATTGGGTTCTCATTTTAAAAAGGTCATCCAGTACAAAAACAAAGCAGTTCTGAATATAGTAATAAAATTGCACAACTTAAATTTATAATCCTTTTAGTATCAATATGAATCTCACAACTATAATAAATAACACAATAATAGTCGCTATAAAAACTGTTATTATTCCACGAATACGGAAGTTTCAACATGTTCGCACATGTAATAAAATGTGTCAGTCTTTATGTAACACGACTCCTTTTTAGATCTATAGGGTATATTCATGTTTCCTCTTGGAAATACGAAACGGTAAACAACTCGTTGTGGATTGAAAAGTGGCAGTGCATAATTAACAGTGCTGTCGAGGGAGATGGATTCCTGTGTGGGTCAAATTTGAAAACAACTGAAGGTAGTAAATATATCAAGTATCCTTTACGAATAAAGCGTATTTCTAATTGGTCCACAATAGTTCAGCCAGTTCGCAATTTCATTTTCGGCAGGGAGTAGACATTTTCCGAAAGTTAAATTTGATAAGCGCGTTGCTTTACTTAATGCAGTGACGTGGTCAACAAATGGCTGTTGATTATAGTAGTGGTGATTTTTGTCACGATTAGGCGTCTTAGCAGATCGTTAGCAGAACCTCAAAAGTACGCTCTTTGACCAAGTAAAGTGTATTCTGGGAATAAAAAAATCATAGTTTTAAAATTACTAAAAGTTACGTAATAAAGTAAGAAAATTTATTAATGAACTTTTAAATACAAACATTTTAATTGTTTATTTAGTGATAAGGAAGGATGGACACACAGTCAGCTTCAACAAATTCAAGTTATTTTATTAATAAAATCCTTGTGTAATAAAATATATGTGTCTGTCGAATTTTTTTAAAATTAAATATAGAGGAACATCTGCCAGGTAATCTCTTGCTATATTTATAAACAAATTGTCAACAATTCACTTGTCCACTTTTGAGTTGCTAATTTGCATAACTGTGGACATCATGAAAATAGGTTTGATATTTTACCATCATAAATCATTACATTTGCGAACAAACACACGAGCAAGGTACAGTGAAATTCAGGGATTGCACTGAGCCACTCCATTACAAGCGACAAAACGTGTAGACAAACCTCGCATGTAACTTCAAACTTTAATTATCACCAAAACAGAATTAAATGCACCCTTCCTAAAGTTCAATGAACTTTCTCAATCTACATTGCAGAAATACAATACAGACTTTCGTCATTAAAATATGAAAGGCATGATTGCAGTTCAATGCTATTGATGATGACTGTCTTCTGGGATGATGATCCATGTATTCTGGTAGAGACTGAAAGACGCTACAAAGGTTCATACTGCCTCTATCATCAGGGCAACAACGCAGAAGGCAGCCATCTTCATACTCGTCGCCGTGATAACCTTAAATCTCAAATTCGTTGAAGACTGTTGTTTTCCATATTTTAAGTTCAATAATCGTACTAGGAAGAATATTTGGAAACTAGCGAGAGAGGAGACAATTCTACCCACAAGAAAAGGCTTCATAATTTCAGCTGTTCAGAAAATTGTACTCTTCTAGGTTCATCAAATCAAGAAAATGAAATGGGAGAGACATTTTTTTACGAGTTCAGGAGATGAGAAATTCATACAAAAATTGAGCTGAAAACTCCGAAAGGAAGAAACCATACGGGAAATGTAGAAGTTGATGAGAGGATAATACTAAAACAAATATTTGAGCGAAAAATAGAAAGACTCTGCTCCTTGGAGTTACTTTAGTTACTGAACCGACTGCTTACTTAACCTAATTTTGTTAGTCAGTATTGCAGCCGTAAACAGAAAAAAAAACAATAAATGTTGGTAACACCGTAATTGAATATAAATTAATCTGACTTACCAACGTGAGCCACACTGTTTTGCTAAAAGGGTTTCGAGTGTTCATTCTTCGCGGGTAAACGTGACGAAGCGTGAAACTGTGCCTCTGCAGTACGAGTTGCTTCTTTAGGTCTCTCAGTAATGTCTAAATCTGGCACAAAGGAAAGAGCACGACAAAGAAAGATGACGTACTGCAAATTTTTGAAGTAGCAGGTAATACTCATTGTGCCTCTTGGACAAAACGTTCCGGTCGGCGAGCTTAAGAGTGGGGTGTATTGGTTCCAGCATCTCTCTAAGCACAGGAATGTGAGCATAAAAAGCCTTCTAGCTGAGAATTTATCGTTCAAAAGGCTGTTACAGTACCATTCAACAAAACAAGAACAGAACGTTTTGGAAGAGAAATTTAGACGGAATTGATTCGCAAC